TGTCACGGTCGCCATCTTGCGCCACCCCCGTGCTGGCCGCTATTGTTGTTGTTTTTTGTTTTTTAAGCTTTATTGAAAAAGTACAAAAATAAACAATAAACAATTCTGGCACTTTTCATAGTACATACACTTACAAGTGTAAAGAGAATGCCCGGTGAACATCATCCAACATTAGTGCAAGCCAACTCACAATAACAACATACACATTAGTGCTTCAATACAATACATTCTGAGCAACTGAAATAAAATGAAAATAAATAGTCTAAAATAAAATATATATAAACTAGAATAAACATTGATTTCATAAGGGGGATTCAAATCAATTTTAACTATCCATTTCAGTGAGAAAGTTCTTTAAGTTATCATATAGTTTTTGTGCCTTAATTTCTGTTAGAGGTTTTAAAGATTTCATGTACAATTTAAATTCATTCATGAAGACAATACATTTGGGTGATGACTTCATAACTCTATTTTTGTGGATGAAAAATTTGGCTAGACAAAGGATTACATTGCAACAGAGATCATACCGAAAGTGACATCATCTCTAGAGATAGCAGCTGGAAATAAAACAATGTTTTGTTTGATCCAATTGTGAATGTTAACCCAGAATGTTTGTATTATATCACATGAGAAGAAGATATGGTCCGCGGTTTCAATGTCATTATCACAGAATGTGCATAAACTGTCAGCGATATTAAAGCGTAGTCTAAGTAATTCTTTAGAAGGATAAATGTTGTTCATCATTTTAAAGTGTGTTTCTTTCATTTTGGGGGGTATAGGAAATTTTAGGTACATTGTTCTTAGTTTATCAATTGATTTATTATCAGATTTATGTAGGATATTATTTTTGTTTTGTCTACCGGGGGAACAATGTTTCAGTGAGGCAGTTTCTTATAAAATGATTGTTAAATTTTTTGTCCAGGATTAAAATCCCCTGTATTGACAATGGGCCCAGTTGTGGTATTATAGGTTGGTGGGCCAATATATTTTTTGTTAGAAATATAAATCCATGAGGAAGTGCTTTTTGTAATTTAATAAAGTCTGATTTGGAAGGGTTGAATTTATGTTTAGTGCAAAATTGTTGATAATCTAAGAGATTGCCATTGGCATCCATTAAGTCAACTACAGACCATATATTCCTCTCATACCAATCCTGATAATATAATGATTTATTTCAGTATAAAACATATCTATTATTCCAGAGCAGAGTAGTGTGAGGTGAGAAGTTATATCACATATAGCATTTTCCAATATAATAGAATTTGTTTATGAAACTCAGCCTATAGGTAATTTGTCGATGTTGAAGTCTGCCATAAGAAGACATTTTAAACCTCCAATCTTATTGAATAGGGAATTTGGGACACAGTACCAAAATGAGTTACTATGTTTGAACCAAGATTTCAGCCAATTCATTTTTAAGGTTCCATTGAGGCAATCAAAATCAATAACTTTTAAACCACCATCTTTAATTTCTGTAACCATATTGCTTTTTCATATAGTGTGGCTGGTTTCTCCAAATAAAATTCAGATTAATTTGGTTAATAGATTTGATTAGTTTATTTGAAATGGCATTAGAGCAGGCTGGGTAAATGCACCTTGATAAACATTCCATCTTGGTTAGGTAAATTCAGTCGAGTATTGAGAGCTCTCTTTGGAGCCATACATTTAATTTGGCTTTATTCTCTTTTATTTTTTTTTCTACATTCAAGTATTGACTTTGTTTTTGGTCTTTTGTTAGGTGTACTCCAAGGTATTTAATTTCCGACTTGATAGGGATGTTACAGATGTCTTTTAGAGTTGTATCATGAATTGTAAATAGTTCACATTTGTTTAAGTTCAGAGTTAACCCTGAAGCTTTGGAGAATTTTTTATTTTTTCGATTGTTATTGGAATTTGGTGTCTGTCTTGTACAAAAAGTGTTGTGTCATCCAGAAGTTGGCTGATGACAATATCGGTACCTAAGACATTTACATTTTTTATTTCATTACAATGTTTAATGTAAATTGCTAACATTTCTGTGACTAATATGAATAAATATGGTGAAATGGGACAACCTTGTGGAATTCCCACATTAACATTAAAACTGGGGGTGGTGCCACAAGGTAGCATGACACAGCTGTTGATATTCTGATATAATCCACCAACTAAATTCCTAAATTTGACTCCAAAACCTAAATGTTCAAGAACTTGGAAGATAAATGGATGCTCTACGGAATCGAACGCTTTATAGAAATCTAAAAAGAAAAGAAAACCATCATGTTCAATTTGATTTCTGTATTCAATAATGTCCATTACCAGCCTTATATTGTTGTGGATTGATCTTCCCTTTAAGAAACCAGATTGTGACGAGTGGTGAAAATGTAGGTGAGTAATTTATAATCAGAGTTTCTAAGAGTAATACGCCTTCTGTTTTCTATGAATCTGGGGTCTTTGCCGAGCTTAGGAATTGAGATGATGAACCCATGTCTCATTGTGGGTGGAAGTATACAAGATTTAAATATTTCCAGGAATACTTGATGTAGCAGTTTTTTAATATCTTCCCAGAAATGTCGATAAAAGTCTCCTGTGAGTCGGTCCGAGCCCGGTGCCTTGTTAAGAGATAGGGGCCAATTACTCTGTCCATTTCAGTAATTGTTATTTGACTATCACATGTTTGTTTAAAGTTATCTTCAACTTTGGGAATATATTTTTCTATCTCCTTTAAGAATGTATGGCAGTCTTCATTAGAGAATTTAGAGCTGTGAAGCTGTTTATAGAATTTGAGGATTTCTGAGGAGATTCATTTTGGTTCTGTGATTTCTATATTATTTACTATCAAGGAACTGATGTTATTTTTTCCTTGTCTTCTTTTTTCAAGACCACAAAAGTATGCTGAGTTTTTTTCCCCCCTCCTCTATCCATTTAGCTCTCGATCTAATGAAAGCCCCTTGTGCTCTTTGAATATACATTTCATCCAGTTTCGGTTGAAGAGTTAGTATTTTCTGTTTATCGTCTTCAGTAGGGTTGAGTTTATTGCAGTAAACATTTAATTGTTTGATAATGTCTAGTTACCTTTTCTCTAATTCTTTTTTATTTTTTTTACTGAATGAGATAGTAAATTGGCGTATTTTATATTTAAGAAATTCCCATTTTTTTACAGGCGTTGTTAGTTCTTCCAAGTTTACAATTTCAGTAATTAGTGATTTAATCTTTTGACAGTAATCATCATTTTTAATTAGGCTAGAGTTAAATTTCCAATATTTGTTTAAACAAGTTTTACTGTTGTTAGGTTTCACATATAGATAGATAACTCTATGATCAGTAAGTGGAGCAGCAGATATATCACAGCTGATATCATAGCATAGCAAGTGGGTTGCAATTAACCAGTGGTCAATTCTGGATTTATAATTGGAGTTGAACCATGAGGATTTAAATATTCCTGGATTTAAATGTCTCCAAGCATCCGTTAAGCTTTGGTCACTGCAGAAGTTTATAAAAGTGTTGTTTGGATGACTTGCAGAGAATCTAGTAGGAAATTTATCATAAAATTCATCATGGACTAAGTTAAGATCACCACCTATTATAAAGTTATCAGTTGAGTATGTTGATTTCATATTATCTAATTGTAAGCCAATTTGTTCTAATAGGTTTTTATTTTCAGTGCTCCCGTTGTACCCATAAATATTGATTTAGATGAATTTGAAATCATCATGGGTTAGTATGAGCATTAGCCAGTGACCATTAACATCTGCCATATGAGAGATAACCTGACCTTTGAACTGTTGTAGTAGGATGGCAACCCCTGCTGATCTTGAAGTACCATGGCTGAAATAAACTTCGTCTCCCATTGTTTAGACCAGAAAGTGATATCTTCTCTCTTGGAATGCGTTTCTTGTAAAATATAATATTAGCATTTTTCCCTTGACAAAATAAAAAAAAGCTTTTTCTTTTGGTCATGTCTCTTAGACCTCTTGCATTAACAGACATCAGAGAAATATCATTTTTTAACTGGAACATATGACTCAAAACAAACTAAAATTGAGATGAATGAACGGAACTGTTTTAGAAACAAGAATACGGTGTTATTTAAGGATACTAACCCATTATGGTAGCAAAACCTTAAGCATGTCAATTTGCTTATCAAAACTCACTTGCTTGTAGGATTAAAAATCCTGTTACTTTGATCATGGTGTGACTCTGTCCATTGATGAAGGCATGGGGGCCTCGGGACATAGTCTTAAGACCTTCCTTCCTTGCTTGTTCAACCTTTGGCCCTACAGCTCTTCGGGCCTCTCTGTCTTCTTTGGTGAGATCTTCTGTGAAGCGGATGTTGAGCTCCTTGCAGACTGAGTGATGTTTGGTAGTACGCCAGAGTTCATCTCTGAAGTGTCTTCCAGTGAACTGCATGATGGTCTGGCGAGGACGGTCGGAGTTATATGGTCCTAGACGATGCACACACTGTCAAAAAAAACTAGTTGTTTCAACTAACAAAAGTTAGTGTCCGGTCTGCCTTAAAATTTGAAGTTAGCTGAACTTGTGAAGAATAGTTGAGACAATTGTGTAATGATTCAAAACAAATAAACTTTTCTAGTCAAATAAACTTAACGTTTAGTTCACATAACTTAATCAAAATTCAGTTCCTATAGAATTCTTTAGTTGAGTCAACACAATCTTAATTTCTTTCAACTGGAATTCCAAAACTGAAAATAATGAATCTACAGTTCAGTCTACCTACAATATCTAGTTTACCTAACTTTATGTTATGTCAACTTCATTATACATTTATATTTGAGTCAACTTTCATAATTTAGTTCTGCTTAAGATTAAATGTATACTACATATTTGGTAATTCTCTTTCAACTTTATTTTAGATTATGCTTAAAGAACTTATCTCTATAGGTTATTGGTTGTTCCAAAGAAACCAAATCAATTCCAGTTCTTCAAAGCTTTAATAAACCAGATGGGCAAGGTAAACACATCAACACATCCCATCAAGTACAAAAGGTTTTGTCCCCAAAAACAACACAGGCTTATGAGTAAAACATCTCCTCTTTAGAACGTGCACAAATGAGTACTCTCTACTCATTACTTCTGTCGCTGTCTTTCATAATGTGAAAAAAATATAAAATAAAATGATGCACACCCAAACGGGTCAAAAAGACTTTCCAGGAAAGACCTCAAACTTAAATTAAATTAAACTTAAATTCTTGCAACTGACAATGTCAGTGACCATTACAATAGTGGAACAGAACTGAAGAGAAAACTCTCAGTCTCAGTGTAGTGTCTACACAGTTTTACGAAGAAGTCTATTCCTCAGTCCATGAACCCTTGCAGAGCTGAATGGTAGTCAATGTTCAGTGCATATAGCAGACCCATTAACATAGCTACCGCATGCGAGTAGTCCTTGATGCCATGCAGAATGATCTGTTCCTCCAGGACCACCGATATGTCAACAAGATCCTCTCCTTCTTTTACTAGGACAATGCCGACATTCATTCCCCTCGTCATGCTGTCCTCCATGTCTGTGGGCTTCACAAAGAAAGGAAAAAATATTTTAGTATCGAGTATTTTTTAGTATTCTTCAGTATTTGTCAAACCGTCTATGAGAAACAAGAACATGTTTCAGCATTATGGCATGCCGTTTAGAAAATTAAATATATATGGAATGAATGTTTGAATATATGGAATGAAAACCGACGTCATCAAGGCACTGGCGCCATCTTTAGTATAGGCCTATCAGCTTCTACCTGAAGTGTTATTTCCACCAACATCTCTCCTTCAAGAAAGATGCCCAATGTTCTTTCAGCAATGTTTTTGTTGAACATGATTACTCATAAGAGGGTGTCCTGGCTGGGGGCTTCGCAGCCTGGTTCGGCCGCTGTTCGCGGCGCGTCCTCTCTGGCTCCGGCCATCAGGCAGGTGGTTCAGGAGCATCCGAACCAGGACCAGCAGATTCAGAGACAGCTTCTACCCGCACGCCATCAGACTACTGACCTGCTGAGAGACCCTACTCCCACACACTCGCCACTTTAAGACTCTACTGTTTACTTTAAATAGAAATTAAATAACATTACAATTGAGAATAGATTAAAGTGCAAATGTTAAAAGATAAAAAAAACAGTAGAGTCTTAAACTGGCGAGTGTGTGTGTGTGTGTGTGTCTGTGTAGGGTCTCTCAGCAGGTCAGTGGTCTGATGGCGTGCAGCGTGTTCAACAAAACATTGCTGAAAGAACCTTATGCATCTTTCTTGAAGGAGAGATGTTGGTGGAAATAACACTTCAGGTAGAAGCTGATAGGCCTATACTAAAGATGGCGCCAGTGCCTTGATGACGTCAGTTTTCATTTAATATATTCAAACATTCATTCAATATATTCTAAGTTAATTTCCTAAACGGCATGCTGTAACCAAAATTGATAGGGTGAATAAAATGGGGACAGTTTTCCACATACATTGGCATTAAAACATTTACAGCCAGCAACAGAGTTTCATCAGTTCATTCAGTAACAATAACTAATTTACCTCTGCAGTCCTGAGGAACTCACAGAGTTTCTTCACAGAGGAAATATGGCAGGCCCCTCAGAATGACAGCCCTTTTTGTTTGGTTGGAATTCTGTTAAAAGACAGAACACACTATTAAAGCCACCAGCCACTCAAGTAGATGTGGCTGAGGACACCTCACTTTAATAACAATCTATGGCGTGAACTTTGAGAGATTGATTTCAGAGAGATGACAGTGTGTTGTCAACCCTGCATAATGTTAAAAAAAAGTCTAAAAGTCTAAAATGATGCTATATTACAAGATTTCAGCATTAAGGTAAAATTACAGTCATGACTTTGTACAGGCATACTAACCTAAAAACTGCTTATTGGGAATCATGAGAAAGTTTCAGTGTGACAGAGACACAAGAGTCCTCTCAAGTACAGTAACTCACTGTCCCTGCTGTGTGCTCGGTATGAGAGGAGAGACACTGCTGCTGCTGGAAGAGTTTCTGACTGAGATTACTCTGAGCGCGGGAATCAATTACACTTTACCAGCTTGTGAATATTTCTCTTTTCTCTGAATAACGTAACAGCCGCTCTCTGTCTGTGCGCATGCGTGGCTCTTTTTAGCGCCGACATTATCAGTTATCAATGTGTTTTTGTTTTTTTAACTTTGTGAGTAACGTTATATTGGACGTGAGACCTAGAGATCAATAATATGGTCATCATGACACACCCCTGAAAAACCAATCCAACCGAGCTGGGCTGAAACTAGCTACCTGTTACATCAATATTACTACCAGCTACGTTATCTAACGTTACTGCTGACTTAGCAAGTTATCAAAAGACAAAAGCAACTTAATGAACTCAACCCACCTTGCTGACAGACTGGAGCAACCTGAGGAGAGTGTCTCCGTCACACTGAGCTCACCTGCCGGCCTCGCGCTGCACACAGGGAGGCGGGGTCACGCGCAGAAACGGTTGTTTGGAGACGTTAGTTGAACGTGCTTACGTCAGCCAATGATCCTTTTAACTGACATTGTTAATTTCAGTTGAATCCTGTTTCTTAGTTTGAAAACTTTTCACTAGTCGAGGAGACATAAACACAAAATCCTGAGTTATCACAACTGTTTCAATAGTTTGTAGTCTTACTGACAATGAATTAAGTTCTCCTGACTGATGGGCCCAATCTCTCCTTACAGTGCAGTCTATGATGAAGTCCATGTTCTCCTTCCAGTGTGGCCCAATCTCTTCTTACAGTGCAGTCTATGATGAAGTCCATGTTCTCCTTCCAGTGTGGCCCAATCTCTTCTTACAGTGCAGTCTATGATGAAGTCCATGTTCTCCTTCCAGTGTGGCCCAATCTCTTCTTACAGTGCAGTCTATGATGAAGTCCATGTTCTCCTTCCAGTGTGGCCCAATCTCTTCTTACAGTGCAGTCTATGATGAAGTCCATGTTCTCCTTCCAGTGTGGCCCAATCTCTCCTTACAGTGCAGTCTATGATGAAGTCCATGTTCTCCTTCCAGTGTGGCACAATCTTTCCGATGATGTCCTCGATGATCTGACGTGTTTTCTTCTTTTTCTTCATTCAGGCCATTTAGTCTTAAATTCTATCTTCTTTTGTATCTTTCCAACTCTGCAGCTCTCATTTCCAGCTCTGTGTATTTCTTCTTGAGTTGTTTCACTTGTATTGCCATTGTTGTTGTTGTTGTTGTTATTGTTATGACGCCTCTAGCGGCGGCGGCTGAGGTTAAAGGCTAGAGAGGCGGGGCTAATACGTCATCGTTTCCGTCCTGATGACTCCGGGTAATCCAGCGTTTTAGGATTTTCCCACTCTGGGACCCGTTTTTAAAAAATACCGTTTTCACACTCCGAAAACTCCGTATCCGTCTGGACGCGAGGCCGATACGATAAAGTATTCATCCGGATACGTGAAAAACTTATTCGTGAGGCATATAGCCAATGAGCCAATGCATAATATGGTTACCACGGTTACCATGGAAAAGAGGAAGGAGTCACATTTAGCTCGTCAGACGTTTCAGAGTTTCCTCAATATTAATACGAAAAGAAATATAATGATTGTTCAAGAGTCCCAAAACACGAGTCCAAGTCCAGATAACTGTAATAGATTACTGTAATGGATTACTGTAGTGGATTACTGTAATAGATTACTGTAATGGATAACTGTAATGGATTACTGTAATGGATTACTGTAATAGATTACTGTAATGGATTACTATAATAGATTACTGTAATGGATAACTGTAATGGATAACTGTAATAGATTACTGTAATGGATAACTGTAATGGATTACTGTAATGGATTACTGTAATAGATTACTGTAATGGATAACTGTAATGGATTACTGTAATAGATTACTGTGATAGATTACTGTAATAGATTACTGTAATGGATTACTGTAATAGATTACTGTAATGGATTACTATAATAGATTACTGTAGTAGATTACTGTAATGGATAACTGTAATGGATAACTGTAATAGATTACTGTAATGAATAACTGTAATGGATAACTGTAATAGATTACTGTAATGGATTACTGTAATGGATTACTATAATAGATTACTGTAGTAGATTACTGTAATGGATAACTGTAATGGATAACTGTAATAGATTACTGTAATGGATTACTGTAATGGATTACTATAATAGATTACTGTAGTAGATTACTGTAATGGATAACTGTAATAGATTACTGTAATAGATTACTGTAATGGATTACTGTAATAGATTACTGTAATGATTACTGTAATGGATAACTGTAATGGATAACTGTAATAGATTACTGTAATAGATTACTGTAATGGATTACTATAATAGATTACTGTAGTAGATTACTGTATGGATTACTGTAATAGATTACTGTAATAGATCACTGTAATGGATTACTGTAATGGATTACTGTAATGGATTACTTTATTTAATGTTAAGTTTTTACATTATTTTAATAAATGAATTATTAACAGTATTAAACTTATAATATATTAAATTAACAGTAGAAATTACAGATTTGCTAAATGTTTTTTAATCTAACCCTCTTTAATTATTATTTACAGTTACAGATTTTATTCAAGATTCAAGATTCAAGAAGCTTTATTTATCCCGAGGGAAATTACTGTGCAACAGTTTCAATACAAAGGTGGTAAAGTAAAGTACTACAGGGTTAGAGTAAAAATAAGCTAACATAAAATAAAATAAAATAAAACAAAAATTTAATTAAAATAAGGGCTAACATAAAATAAATCAAAAAATTAACTAAATGCAACAAAATGTAAGCACTTACAGGTAACATAAGGAGAAAAGAAGAAAACAAGTAACTAAATATGACAAAGTGCAACAATAATTGCAGTTAAACGTAGGTACAGTATATACAATATACAACAATATGCACCGTGCAGTTTAGCAGCATAAATTGAAATAAAATAAGTATAAACTAAATAAGTGATAAGGAGCGATTGGATAAAGTGGTAACAGTGGTAAAAGTAATAACATTGTAGCAGCATTTGTTATCAGCATAAATTAACTAAGGTACAGTACAACTAAATAAAGAGATGAAGTGAAAGTTGGGTAAAAAATGATAAAGTGACATTTGTTCAGGACACAGTGTCTCCACTGTCCCTCTCGCAACCGGAGGTAGATGAGTTAAACAGTCTGATGGCCACAGGAAGAAAAGACTTCCTCTGGCGTTCAGTGTTACATCGGGGGGGAATGAGTCTGTTGCTGAAGGTGCTTCTGCTCGAGGTTAGCAGCTGGTGGAGAGGGTGAGCGTTGTTGTCCAGGATACTGTGCAGTTTACACAGCATCCTCCTCTCAGACACCACCACCAAAGAGTCCAGTTGGACCCCCAGGACGGAGCCAGGCTTCCTGGTGATCCTGCTGATCTTCTTGGCGTCTGCTGCCCTCAGTCTGCTGCCCTCAGCCTGCTGCCCTCAGCCTGCTGCCCTCAGCCTGTTGCCCTCAGCCTGCTGCCCTCAGTCTGCTGCCCTCAGCCTGCTGCCCTCAGTCTGCTGCCCTCAGCCTGCTGCCCTCAGCCTGCTGCCCTCAGTCTGCTGCCCTCAGTCTGCTGCCCTCAGCCTGCTGCCCTCAGTCTGCTGCCCTCAGCCTGCTGCCCTCAGTCTGCTGCCCTCAGCCTGTTACCCTCAGCCTGCTGCCCTCAGTCTGCTGCCCTCAGCCTGCTGCCCTCAGCCTGCTGCCCCAGCACACAACAGCAAAGAAGATGGCACTGGCTACCACCGACTGGTAGAACATCCTCAGCATGATGTTACATACGTTAATGACCGGAGCCTCCTCAGGAAATAGAGTCTCTCTGGCCCTTCTTGTAAACAGCCTCAGTGTTCTTGGCCCAGTCCAGTTTGTTATCCAGGTGTACTCCAAGGTATTTGTAATCCTGGACAACATTCACAGTCACACCGTTGATGGAGATGGGTGGGGGGGGCAGATTGCGGAAATCCACCACCAGCTCCTTAGTCTTGGTGGAGTTGAGATGCAGATGGTTAGTTGCACACCACTCGACGAAGGAGTCCACAATGCCCCTGTACTCCTCCTCCTTCCCCTCACTGACAGCCAACAATTGCAGAATCGTCCGCAAACTTCTGCAGGTGGCAGGACTCACAGGGTGAACAGAAAGGGGGAAAGAACAGTTCCCTGTGGAGCTCCAGTGCTGCTGACCACAGTGTCAGACACACCGTCCTGCAGTCTGACATACTGTGGTCGACCCGTCAAACAGTCTTATGTATTATGTTTTTATTGTTATTTATTTATTTTACATGAAACATCCACAGGGTATTTAGTGAGTTTACAGGGCGTTTGTGTTTGTCTTTGAATACATGGATCAATAATAATATTAATAGAATAACAGATTGTTTTAAAGAGTCCATAACATGAACGATAATAAAGAAACTGCTGCTGTTGGGATCTGACTAATTCCTGAGAGACACTTCTGCTGCCAATCTGGTTCCTATAATGTAAACACACTCTGTCTGTCTGTCTGCCTGTCTGTCTCTAACTCCCCCCTCCCCTCCTCTCTCTCTCTGCTCATTCCTTCTCTAACTCGTCCCAGATGTCGGAGGATCAGAGGAGGAAAAAAAGGAGAAGGAGGTTAGTGACAGTGTAAACACATAGCAGCCATCTTATGTCTGTCTGTCTGCCTGCCTGCCTGCCTGCCTGTCTGTCTGTCTGCCTGCCTGCCTGCCTGTCTGTCTGTCTGTCTAACCCTGAAGAACAGGACTCGCTGTAAACAACATTACAGTCGGGGAAAGATTAAAGGAAGAGTGTATGAGGAGAGACAGTTTGTTCAGATAATAAAGTTAATAGCTCTCCCTCTGGTGTCGGTGTCGACTAGAAAAGATCTCAGATAAATCGTTTTATAATCGGAGAGAATATTTCATACTGAATGTCTCCATGCAGAAAGGCATCATGGGAAACGTAGGAAACCACCGCCTGGAACGGCGTCAAGGTCGGGGGACAGTGAATGACATCACTTCCTCTCTGAGCTGCGGCTGGAATGCGGCGCCGGGTCCGATCGGCCAATCGGAGAGCTCGGATCCACTGAGAGAGACAGACAGGAAGTGGAGGAGGGTGGAGCGCACAGGAAGAGGAAGAGGAGCCTCCTCCTGCTACTGCAGCCACGGGTCAGAGGTCACACCAGGCTATCAGGGTCTCACCTTTCAGCTGGTCGCCGTGGAGACGGGAGGGGTGAAATCACTTCCAGCTGTGTGTGTGTGTGTGTGTGATCCAGACCCGACCCACAATCCTTTGGGGCCTCAGAGACCACCAGGAGAGAGATCAATGAGACGATCCTGCAGGAAGAAAAACTATGGAAGCCCAATAATGCCAAAATTCAACTGACAGTAAAACACACACACACACACACACACACACACACACACACACACACACACTGTGTTTACTCTGGTCGACTTACAGCAGTTTGTTTCCTGTTAGAATAAACAGAGAGAGAGACAGTCTCACCTCCTGTCTGCCTGTCTGTGGTTCAGAGGAGAATCAGGAAACCACACACACACACACACACACAAACACACACACACACACACACACACACACACACACACACACTCTTTGTTTCCTGTATAAATAAAGTTTGTTGAGGTTTTGTTGGAGAGAGCTTCTCTGTCTGTCTGTCTGTCTGTCTGTCTGTCTGTCTCACTGTTCCAATCAGAGATCAATAAGTATGTGTGTCTGATCAGATATCCCCTTTATTAAGGTTAGTGAGGTTAATATTAACTTATTAACCCAGAAACTTCTCATCTGCAGCGTTTTGTTTCTCTTCGGATTTTAGTTATTAATAAATAATGGCTTTATGCTTTTATTTTGATAGGACAGAGTGAACCTCTTCCTAGCAGTTTTTAAACAATATAAAAGTAAAACTCAGTTTTCAGCGTCCTGTCTGACTCAGTGATCAATGACCCAGAAGCTCTTTATATATTCTATAATATATATTCTATAATATATATATATACACACAACAGGAAGATAACTATATACATCAGTATGATCTGTGTGTGTGTGTGTGTGTGTGTGTGTGTGTGTGTGTGTGTGTGTGAGGTCATCAGCAAGTCGGGGCGGGGGGGTCAGCCTATCAGCTGACAGATCACCTGCTGATTGATAGGTATGATCATTAGGATGGCGACAGGCTGCCTGTCTGTCTCTCCAGTCAGTGAGTTTCAGGGCGGAGGTCAACAGTCCCAACATGTACTACAGTCAGATCAACAGCTTTACAATTTGACTGGTTCTTTATTTTATTGTTTGTTTACAGTCGTTGTTGTTTTTTGTTTTTAGATTTAGTTTTTTACTGCAAACAAATAACAGTGAGCTAACAGTCTGTGGGAACCTGGACGTCTTCAAGGAGGTTTGTTATTCGTGTTGGCAGGTTCTTCAGGAGCTCATCGAGGAGGTTCTTCAGAGGTTCTAAGAGTAGCTGGTGAGGTTCCAGGTGTTAATAATAATTCAGTCTTTACAGTCGGGGGTTCTGACTGGAGACAGAGTGGGGTTTTGTTAGTGTGTCCGGAACTTGTTTGATGTTTTTAAGGAGGTTTTCGGAGACGCTGCTGAAACTCCAGGAGGTTCTCAAGTTCTTCATCAGATTCCAGGAGTTTAAGGTTCTGAAGGAGGTTTGTGATGGAGGAGCTGCCAAATGTAAATGAGGAGGTTCTGGGAGACTCAGGGCTTGTTGGGGAGTTTCCAAGAGTCCTTAAGGAGGTCTCAGGGGTTCTGGGGTGGTTCCACGGTGTTCTTTGGTATGTTGGAGGTCAGGAGGTTCCTCAGAAACACTTCAACTGGAAAAATCACACACACACATATATACACACACACAGTAACACACACACAGTAACACACACACACACACACACACACACACACACACAGACACTGAGGCACTTCAGAGCTGTCAGTACTGATCGTCCTGGAGAGAGAGACACAGAGCAGGAGGGCGGCCAAAATATCTCACACACACACACTGAACACACACACTGAACACACACACACAAACACACTGAACACACACACACTCTTATAGATGAAACGCAAACCTTCAGTTTCTTACTTTCTCTGCCAACAATGTGCTCATTAAAGTGAAATAACATGTTGAAATGTTCCTTCCTATACATCACACACACACACACACACACTCACACTTACAGCAGCTGTTCTTTATAAAATAAAAACTGGTTCTCGAGGTCTGGAGGTGATTTCTGTCCAATGAGCTCTGACCGTGTTCTCATACTGGACTGGAAGTTACTGGAGTACTAAAACACTCTGGTACCAGGACCAGTGGACCTGTTTGGACACTACAGTTCCCATGATGCAAAGAGGGAATGTTGCCATGGAGACAGAGCCTTAGCTTTTTATATGTCTGCTAAGCACTGACCTCTGTCCTGTATCTACAGCACTCACCTATGCCCTGTATCTACAGCACTGACTTATGCCCTGTATCTACAGCACAGACCTATGAACTGTATCTACAGCACTGACCTATGCCCTGTATCTACAGCACTGACCTATGCCCTGTATCTACAGCACTGACTTATGCCCTGTATCTACAGCACTGACCTATGAACTGTGTCTACAGCACTGACCTCTGTCCTGTATCTACAGCACTCACCTATGCCCTGTATCTACAGCACTGACTTATGCCCTGTATCTACAGCACAGACCTATGAACTGTATCTACAGCACTGACCTATGCCCTGTATCTACAGCACTGACCTATGCCCTGTATCTACAGCACTGACCTATGCCCTGTATCTACAGCACTGACCTATGCCCTGTGTCTACAGCACTGACCTATGAACTGTATCTACAGCACTGACCTCTGCCCTGTATCTACAGCACTGACCTATGCCCTGTATCTACAGCACTGACCTATGCCCTGTATCTACAGCACTGACCTCTGTCCTGTATCTACAGCACTGACCTATGAACTGTATCTACAGCACTGACCTATGAACTGTATCTACAGCACTGAACTCTGTAACTTAGCATTATTTTCAAATGGACTCTGTATTGTCTTTATTAACGGTCTCTGAATTAGATCAAACAAACTCTGCACACACATTGACAACAAGACATCTGATTGGACAGGACGGTTCATCTTTATTGTGATTGGCTGACAGATGCCCCTCACCCAGACTCCTAAATATCAATAACAATAATATTTCCATTCATTAATGTGGATCTATAAAAGGCAGAGAGCTGAACATGATTGCCAGCAGGAAGCTCCTCCCACTCCTAAATCCAACAACAACAACAACAACAGTGACATCACTGCAGCAGCCTTCAATGTGAAGGTCGCTCCCATCATGCAACAGTCCAATGTACAGTGAGGAGGTGGTCATTAGTGGTTAGACTGACGGGTCCGAGGACCAATGGGAGGCAGGTCACATGATTCAGATTAATTTGTCGACCACATTAATTACAGGAAAATTAAAGTTTACTTACAGATTATTAATCACATTTAGAGTTTGCTTCAGTCACTCCCTGTTCAGATAGTTGTGGTTGTTTTAGTGTAACTCTTTAAAAGCTCTGAGAGTTTAACATGTCTGCTTTATTACCCTGTAGGGACTGATTATTGGGATTGGGCACTGATTGATCCCTCAGCTCTTCTCTCTGGCAGCTGAGATCGAGTTATTGGAATAAAACCCTGTAAAGGAGCTGATGAGCTCTCAGTGTTCTCTGGTCCTTTAACCCAGGACCTTCTTACTGTGAGACAACAGAGCTAACCACTGAGCCACCGAGCTGCTACAGGAACAAATAGTCCTCTTTAGACTATGTACTGCTATGTATATATATATCTGAACCGCCACAGCTTCTGGGTCAACTGATACCAGCTCTGATGGCACAAACTCAGTTAGTAGAGTCTGTGTGAAGGTCCTGGCTTCCCTTCCTGAAGACACTGAACAGCTCTAGAGAATGGAGGCTGATAACTGCGGCATTATAACACATATCAGACTCTCTGGTTCCTTTGGTCCTATCAGATCCTCTGGTTCCTTTGGTCCTATCAGATCCTCTGGTTCCTTTGGCCCTAACATCAGATCCTCTGGTTCCTTTGGTCCTAACATCAGATCCTCTGGTTCCTTTGGTCCTAACATCAGATCCTCTGGTTCCTTTGGTCCTAACATCAGACACTCTGGTTCCTTTGGTCTTATCAGACTCTCTGGTTCCTTTGGTCCTATCAGACTCTCTGGTTCCTTTGGTCCTATCAGACCCTCTGGTTCCTTTGGTCCTAACATCAGATCCTCTCACTCATCTTTGAAATATAAGACAAATATTTTTTTGCTTTTCTTTTCTTTACAAAATAAAAATGACAGTAATGTCAGGTAAGTATAAAACATTGATCTCCTACTCTGCTTCAGAACACATTGATCAATTATCAGGTATAAAAAGTGCTAAAATACAAACCAACTGTTCTAAACCCGACTGTTTGGTTCAGACAGTTCCCACACAAACGGATCTTACTGAAGACATGGATGAACTGTTTATTGTAAAATAAGAGAAGAGACGTCTTCCTCTGCAGTGGTTTGATCCAGAAGGGTCAAATAAAAAGAGAATATCAACCAACCATCTGAATGTGTTTGGTTTCTGCCTCGGTGTCGTGGATCGCATCGGTCTGATTGATAGTGATTGATAATAGATCAGTATCAGTATGAGAAACATTTGAGGACCACAGCTCAATAAAATACACTCGAGTACTTTCACTACTACAGACCCTCCACTCGTTGGTGTCACCAGGGAGGAAACCTGTCGTCCTTCAGGGAGTTCTTTAATGTGACGTAAATATTCCTGAAGGTCGTCCTGACAGTCTCCCAGTAAGTAGGATAAAACCATCCCAGAATATTCCTCAAACATGATTCTCCTCAGGCAATATTCCACATCGATGGACCAACAATGTCTGTGCAGAATTCCTGCACAATGTTCGTTAAAATATCCTCAAGAACTCCTCAACAACGTTCCCAGAATCCCAGAATATTCCTATCAGAGTATCACAAGGTTTCCATAGTACTGAAAATAAAAAATCCCTTTGGTCCTCGGCAGTCGCAGTGGCAGGAGTTTAACAGTATCCAGAAGAGATCAAGAAGCAATGCAGGAAGATCTTGATCCGCTCTGGAAACCAACGGACCCAGCACCAATCCGGTGGCACCGGCAGGATTTTGGAACCGCGGTGCTTCCTAGAGAACCGGCCCGGTGGAAAAGTTTGTTTTTGGTCCAGTGGGCGGGGCTTATTAATAACAGCACCAATGGGGGCGGTTACAACCTCTCTTTGTCCAATAAGAGCCTCTGAAGAACGTCCCCCTACATCCTTCCTGTGCTAGATGCTGATTGGCTGGTGACTGATGATGACCAGGTGGGCGGAGCTTTGGTTTTCCTAAGCAGCGGATGGCTGGCGTGGTCGGTCCTGAGTGATGACCAGCTTACAGTGGTCAGCTGTGTCCTTGGTTCTGATTGGTTGATTGAAGGTAGGCGGAGTCGTGTTGAACCTGAGTCAAACATTACGGAGCTTAAAGAGCAGAGAGGACGTTCTGCTGCTACTGTTCATTATTTAGTGTTTGTTTCTCTCATTGGTCCCACCATCAGGAGGCTCCTGATTGGTTAGAACGTTCTGAGTGCTGTGATTGGTCAGTAGAGCAGGGTGGGAGGGGCTTTGTGTATCCTGAGCGTCTGGACAGAAGAGAGGATTTTCTTTTGGTGGCCGGCGAGGGTCACGCCCACTCTGAGCAGGTCTCTATGGAAACAGACAGAAGGTACGGAAAGTGATTAGAGCCAAAAACAGAAGACCTTAACCCGTCTCCATGGAAACGGTGTCATACAGGTGGATCAGGTGAAAGAGTTCCTCACTCGGTGTTGAGCTGTGAGACGATGTCCATGCTGGTGAATCCGGCCTGCAGGAAGCTCTGCTCGTATCGCTCCATCTTTATGGCCCGAAGCCACTCAGACACCGAACCACAGGCTGAGAGCGGGGGGGGGACGCGCTGGTCCAACAGAGGCTGGGACGAACTGACAGACAGGCAGAGAGAGAGGCAGACAGACAGGCAGAGAGAGAGACAGACAGGATTAATGACAGTGAAGCACACAGAGGAATCCAGCACCAGCAGGTTCAGACCTGCAGCTCCACTCTGTGAATATGTGAAAGTCTGATCACACAAAGATTACAAACAGCTCTGCTGGCGGGGGGGGCAGACAGACAGACAGTGGGCAGACAGACAGGATATTGCCTCACTCTGAGCTTTAATCCAGGAATGTGAACTCTTCTGCACCTGCTCATGTAAACAACTCTGTCTGTATAAACAGCTGTCAATCACACAGCTGGCTGCCCACTAAGCCCCGCCCACTGCACAAACACACACTTTGTCTCTGTGGCAGACTCTGACCTTTGACCTCTGACCCCCTGCAGCTGGTGCATGAATGACATTCCACACCTGCCAATCAAACCCCCCCCCCTTACAGAGCCTCACCTCGGGCCCTCCGAGTGCGTCACCTTCAGGGAGGCGGGGTTTCGGATCAGCCTATCGAGCGACGCCACGACGTCGCAGAACCTCGGCCGATTGGCTCGTTCCTTCTGCCAGCAGTCCAACATGAGCGCGTGCAGGGAGGAGGGGCAGTCTGGTGGGGGGGGCAGCCGGTAGTCCTGCTCGATGGCGTTAATCACCTGACAGACAGATTGATTATTATTATTGATTATTCATATTTATCAATGTAATGGATTCCTTCTAGACTAAAGCTGCTGTACAGTCTGATATTAAATCATTAAAACATTTAATTATCTTTATTTATTTATCTGTTTATTTGTATTTACATTTTAAAAACTGAGCTGCAGTAAATCTCAATATGTGTAGTCTTTTATTTTGGTAGTCTGGATGTTAGATCTCTTTTATTTTGTAAAATGAATCTAGCGTTGGGACTCGTGGTTGCGCCGCTGGTCGTTTTCCTTACGTCCTGGTTGCTCATGTCCCAATATGGTCGTTCTCCGTACGACATCACTTCCCACATGACGATGCCGTAACTCCACGCGTCGCTGGCAGACGTGAACTTCCTGCAAATCAATAAAACAATCAGTGAACTTCTGCGACGTTGATATTGATTATCTCCTGACTGACCTTCGACCTGCAGTACCGACACTCACCTGTAGGCGATGGCCTCGGGAGCCGTCCAGCGGATGGGAATCTTACCTCCCTGAGAGGAGACAGAGTCAGTTAGCCAACGGGAGCTAGCAGCAACTGACCCTTCCTAAGCCCCGCCCCTTCCTGTTTCCTGTACTTAAACATGCTACATGCTACATGCTAGGCTAATCTACGCTGAGAAGATAAAAGAGATTGATGTTAATTACTAGCATAAACTAAAAAGTGTTCTTTCAAAATAAAAGCATAATGGAAACATATAAACATAGTTATATATTGATATAAAGTTATATTTATTTGTAGATAATATCTATAAAGAAACGTTTCCTGTTCCCTAGATACTATTGATATTGTCTGTGTCCGTCAGTACACTGTTAATGTGCACTGACACTGTTAATGTGCACTGACACTGGTAATGTGGACTGACACTGTTAATGTGCACTGACACTGTTAATGTGCACTGACACTGTTAATGTGGACTGACACTGTTAATGAGCACTGACACTGTTAATGTGGACTGACACTGACACTGTTAATGTGCACTGACACTGTTAATGTGCACTGACACTGTTAATGTGCACTGACACTGTTAATGTGGACTGACACTGACACTGTTAATGTGCACTGACACTGTTAATGTGGACTGACACTGACACTGTTAATGTGCACTGACACTGTTAATGTGGACTGACACTGTTAATGTGGACTGACACTGTTAATGTGCACTGACACTGTTAATGTGGACTGACACTGACACTGTTAATGTGCACTGACACTGTTACTGTGGACTGACACTGTTAATGTGCACTGACACGTTAATGGCACTGACACTGTTAATGTGCACTGACACTGTTAATGTGCACTGACACTGTTAATGTGCACTGACACTGACACTGTTAATGTGCACTGACACTGTTAATGTGCACTGACACTGTTAATGTGCACTGACACTGTTAATGTGGACTGACACTGACACTGTTAATGTGCACTGACACTGTTAATGTGCACTGACACTGTTAATGTGGACTGACACTGACACTGTTAATGTGCACTGACACTGTTAATGTGCACTGACACACTGTTAATGTGGACGTGACACTGTTAATGTGGACTGACACTGTTTTTACACTGTTAATGTGCACTGACACTGTTAATGTGCACTGACACTGTTAATGTGGACTGACACTGACACTGTTAATGTGCACTGACACTGTTAATGTGGACTGACACTGACACTGTTAATGTGCACTGACACTGTTAATGTGGACTGACACTGTTAATGTGGACTGACACTGTTAATGTGCACTGACACTGTTAATGTGGACTGACACTGACACTGTTAATGTGCACTGACACTGTTACTGTGGACTGACACTGTTAATGTGCACTGACACTGACACTGTTAATGTGCACTGACACTGTTAATGTGCACTGACACTGTTAATGTGCACTGACACTGACACTGTTAATGTGCACTGACACTGTTAATGTGCACTGACACTGTTAATGTGGACTGACACTGACACTGTTAATGTGCACTGACACTGTTAATGTGCACTGACACTGTTAATGTGGACTGTTACACTGACACTGTTAATGTGCACTGACACTGTTAATGTGCACTGACACCGTTAATGTGGACTGACACTGTTATGTGACTGACACTGTTAATGGCACTGACACTGTTACTGTGGACTGACACTGACACTGTTAATGTGCACTGACACTGTTAATGTGGACTGACACTGACACTGTTAATGTGCACTGACACTATTAATGTGGACTGTGGACTGACACCGTTAATGTGGACTGACACCGTTAATGTGGACTGACACTGTTAATGTGGACTGACACTGTTAATGTGGACTGACACCGTTAATGTGGACTGACACTGTTAATGTGCACTGACACTGTTAGCTCATTAGCCCATTAGCAGCCGACCTACCAGAGAGCTGGTGTACGTCGGGTCCGAGGAGTTTTCGGTCAGGAACCTGCTGAGACCAAAGTCTGACACCTGATAAACAGACAGACACACAACAGTTGGAGCAGGATGCAGACAGACAGGCAGGCAGGTAGACAGGTGGGCAGACTGTCTCACCTTACAGACCAGGTTGGAGTTGACCAGGATGTTTCGAGCCGCCAGGTCTCTGTGGACGAAGCTCATGTCGGACAGATACTTCATCCCCGCGGCGATCCCCCGCAGCATTCCCACCAGCTGGATGGTGGTGAACTGTCCGTCATTCATCTGCAGGGACAGACGGGTAGACGGTGAGACAGGTAGACGGTAGGACACAGACAGGAGTGTGAGTAGCATGTTGCTGCCCGTCTCACCCTCAGGAAGCTGTCGAGCGCTCCGTTCTCCATGAACTCGGTGAGGATCATGACGGGACAGGAGGTGGTGATGACGCCCTCCAGGTGGATGATGTTCGGGTGCTGGAACTGACCCATGATGGACGCCTCCGACAGGAAGTCCCGCCTCTGTTTCTCCGTGTAGCCGCCCTTCAGCGTCTTAATCGCCACGTAGTTCTCCTTCCGGCCCGGGACCCTCAGCCGACCACGACACACCTCGCCAAACTCACCTGCACAGGTTATACAGCATATAATACTATACAGTAGGTATATCTACACCTACCTATCTATACCTGTTCCCAAAAGGTTTCATGTCCTTAAAGTTGTTATAAGGTTCCTGGGTTCTTAAAAAGGTTGGGCCTTAAATGTTCTCAGAAAGGTTTGGAGGTAGAGGTTTCTAAAAAAGTTCCTCAAAGTTAAATTATTCTTTATGAGGGTTCCTACAAAGTTATAAAAGAGTTTCTCCAAAGGTTCTAATAGATACTGAACAGATTTCTAGATTCATACAAACACAAAGTTCCTCTAAACGTTCTTGGACTGCAAAGTTCCCTACAACCTAAAATGTTCCCCAAAGGTTCTTAGGTCCTATAGACACCTCCCTGGTTCCTAACAGGTTCCTTAGAGGTTCCCGTAAAGGTTCCCGTAAAGGTTCCTAACAGGTTCCTTACAGGTTCCTAACAGGTTCCTGTAAAGATTCCTAACAGGTTCCTAACAGGTTCCTGTAAAGATTCCTAACAGGTTCCTAACAGGTTCCTAACAGGTTCCCATAAAGGTTCCTGTAAAGATTCCTTACAGGTTCCCATAAAGATTCCTAACAGGTTCCGATAAAGGTTCCCGTAAAGATTCCTAACAGGTTCCTAACAGGTTCCCATAAAGGTTCCTGTAAAGATTCCTAACAGGTTCCTAACAGGTTCCCATAAAGGTTCCTGTAAAGATTCCTAACAGGTTCCTAACAGGTTCCCATAAAGGTTCCTGTAAAGATTCCTTACAGGTTCCCGTAAAGATTCCTAACAGGTTCCTAACAGGTTCCCATAAA